CCTTGTGGGAAAACTGGAAGATTGTGTGCTTAACTGCTCAACAGTTCAGTGGGTGGAAAACTGGCTGCATAGTAGGACCCACAGAGTTCTCATAAATGGATCTGTGTTGTCCTGGAGAGAAGTGGCCAGTGGTGTCCCTCAGGGGTCCATGCTAGTACCAGTGCTTTTTCAATATCTTTATCAATTATTTGGATGTGGGGGTATAAAGCTAGCTGGCCAAGTTTGCGGACGACGCCAAGTTATGGGGGAGTGTGGTCATGCCAGAACATGGGTTGCAGGTACAGGTGGACCTGGACAAGCTGGAGAGTTGGGTGGACCAGAGCCAGATAAAGTTCAATGCTCAGAAGTGTAAGGTGCTCCAAACAATCCCCGAAATACCTACAGGCTCGGTGGCAACAATTTGCCTTGCATCACAGCCGAAAGGGACCTATGGGTAGTGATTGACCATCTCGTGAACGTGAGCCGGCAGTGCAACGCTGTGGCCATCAGGGCAAACAACAAATGGCATGCATTAACCAATGCATCTTGTGCAAAACTAGGGAAGTGATACTCTCACTGTACTCCGCACTGGTGAGACCGCAGCTAGAGTACTGTGTCCAGTTCTGGGCACTGCACTTGAACAAGGACGTGGAAAAACTTGAGAGGGTCCAGAGAAGAGCCACCTGTATAATCACAGACTTGCAAGACAAGCCTCCAGAAGAGAAGGCTGAGAGGGGACTTGGTAGCAGCATACCTCTACATCAAGAACTCCTGGGGAAGACCAGGAACAATGGATACAAACTCCTGGAAGACCATTTCAGGCTCAATTCCAGGAAAAACTCCTTCACAATCAGGGTGTCCAGACTATGGAATTAAACTCCCTCTGGTGGTTGTGCAGTCACCTACCCTGGAAATCTTCAAAAGGAGGCTGGACAGTCACCTCACTGGGGTCGCTTGACCCCAGTTGTCTCTTCCTGCGTAGTGCAGGGGACTGGACCTGATGATCTACAAGGTCCCTTTCTGCTCCTTTCAATCTATGACTCTATAACTTCTGTCCCTAGCCCTGGTTCCAGTCATGAGTGGTGGCTAATTAGCACATGGCTCCTTTGTGGAAGGTATCTGGTGTGTACACACATACTGAGCAGTGCTGAGCTATGAGGTCATCATGGCTTGAAATGCTGTTGACACTGGTGGGGCCCAGCCCAATGAACTGTGTAGTGAATTCACAAGCCTTTGGATTTGGGATAATATCACACATAATTTGTACTACATATGAGTACGTGCCAAAGTGTTGCTCAAAAGTGTGTTTATGGAGTATCTGTGCTAAAACTTGCAGCAGTTGCAAAAAAAAAAAAAAAAAAAGGTAACATCAGTTCTGGATGAACTAAGTATATTGGAACTATATGTACATTGCTACAGCCATGTTTAATGTCCAGGTTATTGTTTTCAAATTTGCTCTTCATTTCCATGTACTCAGGGAGAGAAGGGTCTGACTGTAAGGAGAAGGGGAAGGACTGCCCTGGGGGAAAAGTGGGGAGGAAGTAGAGAACAAAGGGGCTACCTAACCCCCCAGATTTGTTTTCCTTACTGTAGCCCTGGGAGGCAGACAAACTCAAAGTAGGCCTCCAATAATTAGATCTATACCTGGAAAATTAAAACAAATTTAGAATTTTTCCATATATAGAATCTAATAATGGGAGGGGGGGGTGTCATCTTATAGTCAGGGTCATCTTCTATTCAAGTAAATATGGTATGACTGAATTGCAATTCCTTCCCAGCGCTCCCTCTGGGCTTATAGCTGTGCCCTTATGATGTCCGTGGCAGCCAAGCCCATACCAAGAAAAAGTGGAATAAAATATATGTCACTTGTACATTAAATCTAAACTAATATTACCAGTACAACCTTAACAGTTAGTATTTTTTCTGATGGCTAAGCATGTGATTCTGCAGTATCAGTGATGTTTGAATTCAAGTATATTTCTAATGAGCTGCGGGTACGTACAGTTATTTATGCATGGAAGCATCTCTAGACTAAAGGGAAAGGGTTACTATTCTCTACTCGCAACATACGGTTTTCAGTGGTATTTTTGTAACAAAATCTTTTTCAAACTGAAAATGGTACATGTCCCTCAGCCTGTATGTAATTTCAAACATCAGCCATTCTAGCTGGAGTTTTGTCTAAAGCAACAATATCTGTTTTTATATGGCATGAAGAGAATTCATTTTGTCCTCCCTTCTGAGCCCTCCTGTATAAATCCTCATCTTAAACAGCTGAGCAAAATCCCTGCAATTGGAAACCAAGCATGAAACTTCAGCCCTGAAAATGGTGAAGTGCATGTGAAAATGTGATATACTTTAAATTGATGTGACAACAGGTGCTTTCAAGTGTCTGCTGTTAAACATTGATGCCACGGATATTTTCCGTGAGAACTAACTGTGAAGTGTTTTTGTAAGCAATTTTTAATCACGTGAATCTTACAAAACAAAAATAATATAAAATTGGTGGGAGTTTCTTTGGCCTCAATAGAGACAGTTTTTACCTCAAATACAATACAGTTCAAGTGATGAAGCTGTCTGAATTGTTTCAATGATCAACTTTTTAAAGGGGAGAGTGGTCACCCTAAGTCTTAGCAAGAAAAAAGCTTTCTGTTTAAGCCTTTAAGAGCAAGTCTAGAATACCATCACAAAATATTTGTGATGAATCTGTTTTTTATTCTGCTTCTGGCAAGCTGGTAGGAATTTTAGTATGGATTACAATGTTTCAATAATAAAAAATGTTTTCTCATGGAAACTTTTCCCTAGCAGTACAGAAGTGTTAGGATTTTCTCCTGTTTTTATACATGAGGATGAAATCTTATGGTAAAGAAAATGGTAGTTCTCTTTGACATTAATCCATTGCAGTTTCTTGGTGTTTGGCTTTTAAAGAAGTCAGTTCAAAAGGCAGGCATCTGCAGCATATCAGTTTTTTTATTAACCAATTAAATGAATTTTTTTTTAGCGTTTTCTTTCTTTAAAACTCTACAGCATTTAAAATCCCAATCAAGTCTTCATTAGAACTGAAGGTTATAGCTAAAATGTTTAAAAGAAAATGGATGATTTGACATCTTTTGAGCAACAACCTCCTCCAGACTGCCTCTCCAGGTTACATATTTGACAGCACTGGAAACATACTTCTTTATGATTTGTAGGGCAGTTATGGTGTTTCCTCAATTGCTTGTCCACTTGTTGTTACTCACTTAGTGCTAAGATGACAGATCTCTGAAGGATTTTTCCTGCATTTTGTTCACTGTTAGTTTGGGCCGTAGCATCTCTAGTCTTCATCTTTTTAATATTTGGCTGATTTTTCTAAATTTGTTTCGTGTAAGCTTTCATATTTATTTTTTAGAGAAGTGTAACTGTAAATATACTAATTTGAAAATTACAGTGTACTGAATTATTTGAAACAGTAACTTTTTCAACTTGTAAATATTCCTGAGTTTTGTACATAGAGGCTAAGTAGAAAAGTGCATTGTTTGGGGTAACGTTACTCACTTTGTAAAGGAATTTCAGAGAGTTTCCCACTTGGAAATACTATCGTGTACCCCCCCCCCCCTTTTTTTTTTTTTTCCTTTTTTCTAAAGAAATTCTCTTGTTTAGCAATCTAACTGCTGTCTATCTTACAAGTTTGACTTCAGTGAGAGAGACAGTTGTTGCCTATTTTAGTTGAAGTACAGATTCATGTTGCAATAGAAGTGGACAACATCAGTTCATCAGTTAACTCAAACTTGATTTAATTTGAGCCATGCATGATAGTAGACTTAAAATGAACAAACTCAGAACTTGTATAAGTAAGTGCAATGTCATTTGACTTCAAAGGTGAAGTGAATATTCATCTGCTTACATGACAGTCATGTCTAATCCAAGGTTTTTGAACTGCAAGCATCTACCTCATATTTAATTAGTTGCATGTGAAAGATATATCTTGATACTGTAATAAAAATCAGTGAAAGAAGGGAGTAGATAATAAATAGTATGGATGGTGTGAAAGAAGAAAGACATCTAATTTACCATTTACACTTATGCAGGTTAAATACCAGCAGGTGTTCTATTCAAAACTAGAAATTCCAGGTACTATTAGCAAGCCATTGTGCAAAGCAATATATCTGTTAATTTGCTACTCTTTGTGAACAGCAGTAATTAGTGAGAAACACCAACTTCAGCATAGTAGGATGTCATTATTTGAAAACCTGTTGCTTGACATTGTATGGAAAACCTTTTGAATAACCTTTAAATACATATATTTTAAATAAACAAGTTCCACCTACCTTAATGAATACAAATATGTCCTATAATAGGTATGGGAGGAAATAAGAAAAGAAAGCTATGCTAGTTTTTGTGTAGGCATTTTCTTTGATAATCCTCATGAAATTTACAGCTCAGTCACTAATTTGCTTTCAAGTATGTGAGCTGTAGAATCATAGGTGTTTAATTTCAAAATCAAGTTGATACCTTTTAAACCTTTTTAGTCTCATTGCATTTTAGTATAATTTGTTTTTAATAGATTTTCAGAAACTCTAATGAACACTCAAAATGTTTTATTCCAGTTAAAATCCAGTGTGAATTTTTTCATAAGCAAAACATTTTTAAGCTTGGATATTAAATGGAAATACTTCCAGCACTGTTCAGCTGAACAATAAGGTGTAGGCATGTTAGTCATACAAGTACACAGAACCGTTTCAGCTACACTCTCTGGATGAAAGGCAGCATGAAGGAAACATATGCAAATAGCAGTATTTGATCTGGATTTACAATGTTTAGCAATTTTTTTTATTATTATTAAATTTAGGCATAAAATTCTTGTTCAGCACAAATAACTCAGAGATGAATGTTATTATGGAATTTACATACCATTAGGTCACATTAATTGATTAGCAGTAGAGCTCTGTGGTACAAGGCTAGTTAGATACATTATTTGTGATGCCTGGGTGCTGTAGTTAAATGAGGTTTACTGGGCTGCATGCTCGTTGCCTTTGTCTTTGTAATTACTTGATAAAATGAAGTGCATCGCTGTGAACAATTGACCCTTTGGAACAATCCAGACTGGTCAGCAGTCTAAATCCACATTTTAAAGCCATCATTATAGCTTCAAACTTAAGTGTTTCCAGGGTGCAGACAAAGGTGTTGTCCTCCTTCAGTACAAGTCGTGTACCATTTTCAGACTTTATGAAGTATTTAAATTGAATAATATTTGAAGATATTGAAAACTCCTCTGGAAATCCATCAAGCCTGCTTTTGGATACTAGCACAATTCGAGATTTGATTTTTGCTATGAAATCTGGAGCATTACAAAAGATTCTAAGACCTTGTGAACGGTCGTGGCTGTCAGTTATTTCCAGGAAAGTAGTCTCTCTGGATGCTAGCTGTTCTTTCTCCCACCTTGATTTCACTGCATCAGATAAAATCTTGAGCTGAAAAAAATCTGCTTCTTGTGCCAAAAGTTGATTTTCTCGAAACCCCTCTGGTAGAAGAAGTTCTCCATTTCGTAGGAAGTTCAGAATGTGCCTGAAAAGGAGTCCATCCCTATCTATGAAGTAATGGCCATCTGCATCAAATGGACACAGAATTTTTCCATTTACCACACCTTCAAGAAAAGAGTCTGGGTACTTGCTTAGTGTTTGCTTCTGTGTAATATACAGATATCCACCAACATTGAGGGTAATCAGAGACATTTTACAGTTCTTGTCTTGATCAGAGCCCTCAGAGTTGCTGTGTCTTTCTTCATATTCCTTTTCTCTTTTGTTTATCTTTCGCTCCATTCTCTAAGGCAGAGTAAAAAGACAGCTGCTTTGTCCGGTTCTTGTTTGCTTGAAAAGAGGTATTTAAAAGCACCTTTATTCAGCTCCGGCACGGTGATGGAATGGAAATGCTGCTAGCAATGCATGGACTGTCAGCTCAGTTTTGCAGTAGGTGGCGTATCAGCTATGTATGCAGTAAGCTACGACTGTACAGGAGAATTTGCATTTAACTGTATAAGGGAAGAGGAGGGGGTATACAAGAAATTATTATTTTATTTAAGCCTAGAAAGTTTAAATGATTTTAAAATAGCCTTTTTTTGGTGATTTTTCCATGTAGAATTTGGATTTTTTTAAACTGACAAATTCAGTTTTAATACCTATTTTAAAATGCTTGGTATAGAATGGTTAAAGAGCATTTAGGACTAATAATGCTGTATGAATAGCTTTTGTTTTTTTATTTTTAGTTTTCTCATAACTTTGCAAAAAGCCTATTACCATTTATGATATTTCATCTATATAATGGAAGATAACTGAAACTGACATATGTATGTATGTGCACCTTGTGTATAGAATATCATTTTATCAGTAGAAAACACTTTTAAGTGGTGTTATAAGGCACTTCTCTGTCTAATTGGTTTGGCATATGGTGAAATTGTCTTTTTTCAGCTGATTGAGGTACCTGCAGCAAGGCAAAAAATGCAGCCTAATTAGGTTTTGTTTACTCTGGTATGCCACAGATGAAAACGGTTTTAGAAAAGGGGGACATGTATTACTTGTAGTGATGATTCTTTCATTGGGCCAGAAAATCTAACATTGACTGTCTTGTACTCTGTCAAAACAACTCTGCTGCCATGTGGAACATGGAACAAAGGGCTATTTTGCCCACAGTTATCTTTGAACAACGCACAACACTGGCTTAGCAACACTTTATTAAGCAGGATAATGTCGACAGAGTAGACTTGAATTGAATAGCTGTCTCATTTTCTCTGTATAAATCTGTGATTGAGGCTCATTTTCAGTTATCTTTTTAAAAATATTTTCCCTTTTAAACCTTTGTGAGGGGTAGGGAGAGGAGAAGCTGTACAAATATCTGTGTGTGTATTTCCTTGGGGACCTGTGTGGGGGATGGAGGGGTGGTACATGAAGCATGCATTCCAAAGCTCAGTAGAAACCAAGGATTTACCTTAGAATTTCTTATTCCCATGTTTAAGCTGTGGGTTTTTTCCCCTGAATTTGCAAGTTTACAAGGAAGTATCAACTAGTCAGAGAAAAAAGTGACCAAAAGTCAGATTAACCCCTTGTGAAAATGAATGGTCTATTCCTGTTGTAAGAGTTTATTCATGCTGCTTCCTCTCTCTATAATAGCAATTATTTTTGGTCCTTATGGAAACATTCTATGATTTTGTGTTTTGTTAGTTGGTAATTATGCTTATCAGTGGAAATGAATATGCTGATTCTAACTGCCGCCCTCTTTATCAGTATCACCGGTCCATACAGCTTGTACACTGTATTTTTGTCACCTTCCTTGTGCTGTACATTTAACAATATTTTTTTCAGAAATAGTCATTTAGTCATTTTTTAAATCTCTGTTCTTTTAAGCCATCATTGTGTTTAACATCACTTTAATTTGAAGAGATTTCCGTCATTTCATAACTTCTGAACATATCAACCTTCCAAAAATGATCCCCTTTGGTTATTGAGAAAATAATTGGAGAGAGAAAAAGGTCTGTGTTGTTTTGTCGTAAGTTTGAGAAATAAAATTTAATCACTGCAGGAGACTTCTGCTTAAATTTAATTTATAATCAAGTTACAGAAAATCCATTTAATCTGTTCAGGTTTTCTATGGTGTTAATCTTACAGCCAGTTGTAAGAATCATAGTAATAACTGTGAACCCCCTAGAATGACTCCTGTGGCCCTTCCATTTTGTATAGTGACCTTGCCAGCTCTTTGAAGCCAAACTGAGCAAGTTCTGGCAATGGTGGTCAGCATTTTCAAGGAAGACTCGGAATTCTAAAGGGACTTGGTCCTTCATGGCTGGCTGAACTGTGTAAAATGAAACATAACATTTGCAAAATAGTATCCATTTGTTATTTTTATATGCTTATAATTGTACAGAATATCAGTCTTTGGGTTGAAATTTTCCAGGTTTGTTCATAGGCGTGTTGGAAAGGTCAGGCTACTTCATTTCAGCTACTTAGAAGGTAAAAACTCCAACAAGTTGCTAGCTGCAAAGTTCAGGATAGAAAGAGAAGTATGCATGTATATGATAAATGTGGAGATTGGTCCGTCTCTGAGTGGAGAGGCAAGATCCTCTCACTAGGAACAGCTGGGTTTTAGTCCCAGGAGGAACATTTGCCTACCCCAGTCAAAATCCCAAGTGTTGGCTGCAGCCAATACCCAGTGCTCCTGAGAAAGGTGAATAAAAACCCTGACACATGTAGCAACAGGAGGGGGAAAAATTCTTCCTAGCCCTATGTGGCAACTAGCAAAGCCCAGAAGCAAGGAAAATACAAAACTCCCTCCATTCTGCTCTGCCACCTGGGGACAGCAAGTATAGTGGTACACACCACACCCTCTAACTGGACAGCCAGAACTTTCCTTTCTCTGTCCCTTCCATAAATCTAATCTCAGCTCTTTTAAATTTCTTTCATAACTAAGCCAATTTTGTGGAGCTCTGCTGAGTATGGTCCCTGCCAAGGTCCATATGCTTCAAGCTTCAGAGCTTACATTCCACACCACTCCCATGCAGACCTTACCTGCAGCCTTCTCTAGCTGTTAGTAGGCCCTGAGACAAAATTACACACCTGATTTCTCTCTCATAGTATAGACTATGAACTATATACCCTGAGGCAAAAGAGGGGGAGGCTCTACTGTTTGTCGTGTGCTCCATAGTAACTGCCTTTGTGTGTCCCTACTCTGCAGTAAGAGACAATTAAATGGAAGATGTAGCCCTCAATGTAAGAAGAATAAATGACTGTGGGTTAGTTTCTATTTAACTTGGGATAAAAGCATACTCCCAAGCCAATACTGCAGAGCAACAGCCATGGGAAAGCCCCACCCCTTTTATCCCACAGTAAATTGTTCATTAATTCATAGCCTAGGGAAAGTTGCCAGTTTTTATGTTGTGCTCAACACTGCACTATGCTGCCAGTTTTACTATACCCATAGTGACTTAGTGTTAGATGTAGCTGTATTGATCCAGGACTAGTTGCAGCACATTGCTTTTGCTCACATTGTCATCTTAGGAGAGGTACAATTACAGAGAAAATTGGGGGCTCTTTTTTTCCTTTGAATGATTGTCCAAATGCACATTCTGCTATTGTTCATGTCCCTCGTGCTCCAGCTTAGAGTTTTGGCCAATGGTGTTCTTACGCCAGCAAGCATGTGATGCGAGGCCTGAAGAGCAAGCCAGATGAGGAAAGGCTGACAGATGTGGGACTGTTCAGCCTAGAAAAGAGAACTTTAGGGGGATTTGGTGGCAGCTTACAAATACATCAGGGGAGAGCATCAGGGGCTAGATGACTATTCACCAAAGCATCCTATGGGAAAACCAGGAGCAGCAGTCATAAAATCCTAGAAGGTTTCAAACTGGATATAAAGAAAAACTTCTTCATGATTTGTGTGACCAAACTCTGGAATAGACTCCCAGTGTGGGTGGTGCAGATAGCTACCCTGGAGATCTTCAAAAGGAGACTGAATTCACAGCTTGCCAGGATTATTTGACCCCAGCAGTCTTTCCTGCCCAGAACAGGGGGGCTGGACCCAATGATCTCATGAGGTCCCTTCCAGCCCTAAACTTCTGTGACTGTGAGAGTCCTCATGTTCCATGCCAAGGATGTGTCGGGTGCATGTTGGTTCTTTTCAGCCAACCTCTATGAATATGGAGCCACTGATACTGTCTCTTGGGAATTGCTCTACTTACTTCAGGTGCATATGGTCTGTTATCTTGGATAAGTTGCTTACTGCTACTATAGTTTTACAAGGTGCCAACTCCCAACTTCCTTTCCCAATCACTTCTTAAGGATCAAGTCACTTCTTTCCCAAAGGCAGGGGTTCTCAAAATTTGTGATGCTGTGACCCTGAGTGCTGGATGGCGGTAGCAGGGGATGGGGAGCTCGCACATGGCAGCCGCTGCAACCACTTCATGCTGCTGCCACGCACCGCTTCTCCGCGCTGCCGCGTGTACCCCCTGGGAAGTTTGTGGCCCCCTTTTAAGTTGCTCATGACCCGCAGGGGGGGTCACAACCCACAGTTTGGGAATCCCTGCCCTAAGGGCAATAAAAGAGTCTGCATGCCAACATCAGGGAAAAGGTTTGTCAGTCATTGCTTTCTGATCCTGGAAAAGAAAAAAAGAGTGGCAACCCATCTGGGATTACAGTTTATAGGCGTGCTAAGATTTGGAGTGGATAATCTTGCCTTCATAGTACCCTCCCTTCCCCCATTTTGGACTCGATGGAATGGTTCAATATCTCTTGACCTTCAGGATGCATACTTCTGCATCCTTGACCTCATAGCTGAAATCAAACCCAATCACTACAGTAAAAACTTACTTCTCCTTACTGGTGTACCTGCATTGTGTACTTTTGTAACATGACATCTTGGACTGTATCTTCAGTGCCTGCAGGGTTGGTGGACGCACTGTGTGCCTGGGCAAACACTAGCTATATATGCCTCTCTGCATTTTCCCACTGTTCCTGATGTCCTTGAAACGGCAGGAAGACTCCGTAAACATCTGCAGAGTAGCCCCTTTGCACTTTTCCTACCATCTGAGACTATGGAGATGAATAAATGCTTTGTTGTTGTGGCTGAAAAGCTCAGATGAATGGGCTTGGCAGGATGCAGAGACGCATGTCAGATTTCTAGAGGTAATGATAGTCATGAGGCTTGCAAAAGAACAGAAAACAGCAGTAGATGGGGCAAGGGTAGCGGATTGGAGTGGCACTTGGGGTAAAGTGTGGGGCTAATCTGTGGCTTGCCTGCCCAACTTTGTCGTCCCCCCCCCCATTGGCTTAGCAGGTGC